TCAAAGTTTTAACGTGTAAATAATTACCCGTTGAAAAATCAAATTATCAACGTGTAGTAAAGTAATTACCCGTTGAAGGATCAAAGTTTTAACGTGTAAATAATTACCCGTTGAAAAATCAAAGTATCAACGGGTAGTAAAGTAATTACCTGTTGAAAAAACTCTTCCATAAGAAGCTGAGTCCAATGAAAGTGTAATTTCCAGTTTTTACTCGGGTGGCTGATATCACAGCAATGGAGAATCAGAGAAAGTGCCTTTGGTTTGTCTATGCTGTTCAAACAACATAAAACCAATAAGTTAGCAACCGTTAGTATGTTGCTAAAATAATAATATGGTCATGTGAAAAAAGAAAAACACGAATGGAATTAGTAATGTGCCAGCTTCAATAATTTATGACGATTTTTTTTTAATTTAACATGAAAGAAAACACAATTACTTCGAAATTAATAGTATGCCAGCTCCGATAAGTTTTGGATAAAATATTATTCTTGGTTTTATGCTTTATTTTATGTACTATGATATGAAACCATTTAAATTTTAATGACGACATCTATACAAATCATACTAGAAACACAACAGACAGAATCTAAACACTTGGATTACTTAAAATTCACGATTATCGAATTTTAAAGTAAAAATGTTTAACAAAAATTAACCAACGAAGAATACTAAACTCAAAATTACGCTGATTATTTAACCCAGCGGCTGCAGTAGGCCTAATTTACTGTACTTTACGCTGACAATTTAACCCAACGGCCGCAGTAGGCCTAATTTACTGTACTTTACGCTGACAATTTAACCCAACGGCCGCAATAGGCCTAAGTTACTGTACTTTACGCTGACAATTTAACCCAATGGCTGCAATAGGCCTAATTTACTGTACTTTACGCTGACAGTTTAACCCAGTGGCTGCAGTAGGCCTAATTTACTGTACTTTACGCTGACAATTTAACCCAGCGGCTGCAGTAGGCCTAATTTACTGTACTTTACGCTGATTATTTAACCCAACGGCTGCAATAGGCCTAATTTACTGTCCTTTATCTTCTTTTTTTGTTTGTTTGTCTGTTTGTAGTTATGCACACAATTATACAATGGGCTATCTGTGGTGTACCCACCACGGGTATCGAAATCCGGTTTTTTAGTGTTAAAATTCTTTAGACTCCCCTCTGTGCCACTAGAAGGGGAGGGGGCGTACTTTATCTTAATGCAGATTAAGGTGAAGTTTCTAATAATTGCCATCAGAGGGCTACCATTTGGTTTAAATAAAGCTGCCTTTTTTAGGATAACAAACCATTTTTACAGAATTGAGGAAAACAAGACAAATATGTTATAAAACCCATTAAATCCACGCCACGTAGAACTCAGTACTTGGAATGCACGTCTGGATCTCCCTGACCAGACTTCATCCACTCAACCACCACTGGACAGGAAAACACTCAGCTTTCTTACGGCTCTTGTTTCTATTCTTTGGTTTATTTCAACAAGCACAACTACAAACTAAAATCATTAAAGTAATGCAATCTAACGCGCAGGGATGAAGGGGGAGAACAGTTCCCGAACACCCCAGTGGGTAAGAGCAGGCAAATACAAAGTTTGTTTTTTTCTTCTTTCATACTAAATTATTGCCACGTTTAGTTAATTTTTTTTGTTATTTGTCCCTGTCCAGGGTTACTGATGAGGAACGGAACCGGTATAACTCAGTTACTAGTGATAAATCAAATGATAGACTGGGCTATATTCCAACCAGTTTTCATACTTTATCACACTCGTAAGTGAAGGTGCTAGAATGAAAATTAAGGATTCCGGCATGTGCAATACGGAAAAAATATGAAAA